AGGGAAGGGAAGGGAAGGGAAGGGAAGGGAAGGGAAGGTGTCCCAGGGCTGCACTCACACGGAGTCGTTGCGGGCCAGCTGCCCGTTGTGCCGCGTGGCGTTCTCGCTCATGGAGCGCTCCCTCTTCAGCCTTCCCAGCGAGCGCACCTGCACACGGAGCACAGCACACGTCAACGCCACGGAGCTCCAGGACACAGCGCTGGGCACGGGAGCTCCGTCAGCCACGGCTCACCTCGCACACACGGGCACGCTTTCACGGCTTTCACAGGGATTGTGAGGAAAACAACTGGTGACAGACCTGATGCTGCTACATGGAAAATCGAGCTCCAAACTCACTGCAATCCTGTTGTTACCTAGCTGTGTGACCTGATGCCAAAATTATGAACCAACAGAATTTTGAATATTTTCTGGAGATACTCAAAGCCCTCTGGACACAATCCTGAGTAACGTGCTCTAGGATGACCCTGCTGAGGGAGGCTGGACTAGATCAACTCCAGTGGTCCCTTCCAGCCTTACCCATTCTGGGATTACTTCCTACCACCAGAGATAAATACATTTATGCTGTATTTTATAAGTCTATAGAATATGAAGCTTCATAAATTATTTTCCATTTTTAAAGTGTCAGTTGCCATTATTTAGCTGGATGTCAATGTTATACCATACTTTGAAGCTGTTTTCTTCAGAGTTTTGTTAAAACTCATTAGTTCTGTGTGGTGTTACGTCATCTGGCTATGAAGTCCAGAAGTTAACCACATACATTATAATGCATAACTACATACATTACAAGAATTTTATATTTTTCTGATACTCTGTAAATCAAAAACAAACCTTGTAGCTTTCTCTTCATCACAAGGATTTTTTTTGTTAGTATTTTGAGTAGTTATGACTTTATTTTTGCAAGTAGTGAGTAAGCTTACTGAGCATGGCAATCCCAGGCCATCTGCCACTTCAAAATCTAAACAGAACTACTATAGTGCTAATAAAAATTTTTTTTATTTTCCCAACATATGTCAGCACCAAGTTGATCTGCACCACAGTAGAGAAATCATTGGTCATTTCACTTTCTTTAGTAGAATGCTTCTCATCTAAGGAAAAAGCAAAATAAGTACTGGCCTCTTCACTTTGAGGTGTCTGCTGTGGAGGTTTTTCTAGGTCCAAAAAATCTAGTGGTCGATCACTAAGAGAAATAACACGGGGAGGAGTTTTCAATGCCAGTGGTTTGAATGGAGTAGACTGAAGAATGTCAAGGTCTGCTGGTCTGGAAAATGGAATGTCTTCACTATTACCTGCAAGAACATCAGTTGTCAATAGAAAGCAAATTGTTCTGAGGCCTGAAGGCTTAATGTTCAAAAGGACATCACAGCAGTAATTTCTCCTGCCTGTGCCAAATGATAAAGTATAACTTTCTTTAACAGGTCTGCTAAAAACTACTGTTAAAAGTGCTAATAAAGACCACATTGGCTTTTATTTGAGTAGTTTCTCTGAGGACAATGATCCTGAGTAACCCTGAACCACATCAAACCGTTATGCAAGTGAGAGCACTCAAGACACAGTCACACCAGTGGTGTCTTTGGGGATACCAATGCACAAAATATATGCATGTCACACATTTTGCAAACTGTTAGACCTTCAGCATTTCTAGATCTGTCATTGTAAAGCCCATAACCACAAATACTACAGTAATATTGATAGAGTCCACTCAGGCAGATTCTTAACAAAATTAGCATTCTGATTAAACTCAAACACATTTTGCATGACAAATATAAAGTCCATCCCCAAAACTAGCTATAGTTACTTTAGCTTACAGTTAATTACTAAAAATCAGGTGCAAATCAATAAACAGTAATTTTTTTTCTCCAAAAATAACATAGTAAGATGAAACATCAGCAATTAAACCTTCTGTTCATAATTAATTCATCAGCTATCTCCATTATGAGCTACACCAAAACTATTAATGAAACATTTTAAGAAAACTTCACAAGAGCTTTTTAACAGTAGAAGGCATTTTCGGTTGTTCTTTTAAAAATGACATATCAATATATATCTTTTCCATCCAGAAATCTGGGGAACTAATTTAAGTTTTCACCTGCACTGCGACCCAGACGTACCTGCCACTACAATCCGCTCTGGAACCTGCATAGTTACACTGGCATTTGGAAATCCTTCCTGGCTGTCCTTGTCCAGGTCAGAGTTCTGAGGAGCCACCTTGAGTTTCTCGGGGACCCTCATGCGCTGGCTGATGCCCTCGGTGTATTCCATCTCGTACTGCAGCCGGTTCATCTCTGCCATCTCGGCCGCGGGCGACGGGAACGCGGCCCCGCTCATCCTGCCAAGGGAAGCCACAGCGCTCAGAGCCCGGCTGCCACCCAGCACCACACGGAAACGAGACGCTTTGTTCAATTACCTGGCAAGGGGGAGATCCTAAATGAAGAGTCTTATTTAAAGGAACCAATTCACAGGAACCGTAGTCACAAAGTCCTGAGAGGCGCAGGCAATGAAAGAAGAACAAAGTGATACTGTAGACAATGCTCAAATTGAGGGTCCTCAACTTGAGCCATGACAAATTAAAAAAAAAAAAAAAAAAATCAAAACAAACCGACCCAGAAATTCTGCAGGTAAGGTACTATTCCTGCACTGTCTGGCAGAAATAGAAACATAAACAAACAAACACATCAAAGAACTGGGAGGATTGATAGGAAATCTATTCAGGATCGGTGAGAAATCAAAATTATTGATTTGCATTTACATAAATCCAGTATACTGATTGTTGAGAAAATGGCTGAAGTCTCACAAAACTGCATGTTGAGGCAGGGAAATGACAGAAAAGATACAGCCTGAGCAGCAGCCTCCTGCTCACTATCAGTCACCAGATCTTACCCCACCTTACAAGGACAAAGTTCCTTATCAACAGCCTGTCAAATCAGCTTGAAAACTGAGAAAATTCATAACCCTTCCCAAGTGCAGAAATTCTTTTACAGAAAAATATAGAAGTGAGAAGTTTAATCAGCATCTTACTTTTCCTGAACTGATACAAGATGAGGAGGAGAGAGAACAAGACTTTATTTAAACTTGAAAGAGTTTGTCAATACTTTACATATACATTTTCCTAGAAAAGCAGTGGGATTTCAAATGAAGTGGTGGAGGAATTTCCTAGAAACTGGGCTGTGAGAAACTTACTAATGCAGTTGCTGGGAGTTGTGTCAAAGACCAAGGTAACTAGGAGTTTGAAGTTAGATTTAGGGTTGAGAGAAAAAGAAATCCTAGAGCTGTGCCTGGGGCTGGCTGGAAGGGGACCAGCCAGCTGGGAGAAGTTGGTCACCTGGAAGTGGCCAGAGGACCTTGCTGATGGCTCAGACCCAGATAATGGTAATGGGCTGGGTTAAGAGACACCCTGAAGCATTTGGAGCAGGGCTGGAAAGGGGCTCCCAGAGGAAACACTGAGCTGCAAGAACTGGTTGTGGGAAACTTTTCATCCAGGCAATGGCTGGGGGGCTTGTCAACAGCTCACACTGAGATGATGGGGTTTTCTAGGGTTAGAATAGGAAAACAAAGTTTCTAGACATATATATACACGTACACAACATGTAAATACAGCTTTCATGGTAAATCTGCCCATGCAAAGCATAGTATACTCTAGCACAAAATCTTTGAGTGTTGTTGCTTAAGTAGGACCCTAAATGAAGTAACTCATCCTGGCAAAAAGGCAGGGTTTGACATTGAAATTGTAACTACATTCCTTTACTATTTTTGGCAGCAAGGCCACGTCTGTGGCTGCACGTGCACTTCACTGAGCTGAACGTGCAGAACTCAGAGAGCAAAAGGCCTCAGTGCAGAGCAGCCACAAGGCAGGGGAGACAGCCCAGGAGCCCTCCCTCCCACCATCTCAATAAGCAATACTGCCACATTGATCAATAAAACCCTGAATAACCTTCACACAATGCACAGAGGCACAGGGAAGGATCTAGACCGTGCCACACATGAATGCACACACACTGAGAATACCCAAGATGTGATCACCTGGCAGCCCATCCTCCGGCCTCAGTGTTATTCACAAGGCTTCCTGTGACCACAGATCAAAGTATCTCAATCATCTCCAAGTGTCACTGTAGCACAGTAGGAGTACAGGTGATCAGGGAGCAGGCAAAAAGACCACTGTGTAACCTTAAAAAATCAGTTTTACAAGAAATACTTGAAGTGCTGCACATTTAATCCACCTGTATTAATTCTCACTGTTTGTATCGAGTGAAAGTGAAACAACCTGTTTATTTAGGAATAAACACTTTATAGCAGTTCAAGAGGTGCTTAAGGATCTGCCACTTCATGAATTTTAACCTTTTCACATGGAGGTTTTTCATCCCTGCCCTTTGATTTTACAAACTAGATTTGTCCCTTTTGCAAGACATTGGTTAGATCAGCCAGTGACATGAACAAAATACACAGCCTTCTGAGATGTCTACACTCCAAAAGGTGCTTTTCATTTTAACATTGTCTGTGATCAGTAAAGCATTTCCTGATCTCATAAAAATCATTATGTCAAGAGAGTCCAAATTTTAAGAACTTACAATACCCAGAGTATTGACTGGCAACAGCTTCAAGCACCCTTATTGCTCACGTGTGACAAAAGGTGTTTCCCTGCTTGCTCACTCTCATTTGGAAACCCTGGCTGGCTCCGATGTTAGTGATGAAGTATCCCTGCCCTGCAGCAGTGTTTGCACCACAGCTTCCCCACAGCCTGGTGTGGCTTTTGGACACAAATCTGCTTGCACAACAACTGCTTCCCAGCTGCAAGGCAAAACATACACAAAACCAGACAGTGGTAAAAAGTATTTATAAACTAAATAGCACTGTGTAGGTTTAGCAGCACTTGTCAAGGACCTACAGATGCAATACCTCACTATCATCCTACTCTTGTCTACTTTGTGCCACTGTGAACTGGATTTGCTGTCAAAGTGATTTCAATTTTTACTCCTTTTTACAAGACAACAGCAAAACAAAAAATAGTGAGATCTCAGCAACACATAAAACATTTTAACGAAGCTTCTGAACAAACCAAAGTTAGGTGTTCTGCAATGTCCTTGTTACACAAAACATTTTACAGAAAGCATTAATAATAAATCAGGAGAATGAGGATTTTAAAATTGATATTTACAGAAATAAGTACTTCTTAAAGAGGCATGATAATAGAAATCTGAGAATGGTAAGACAATAAAAATCTAATCACAAATACAGGACAAATAGACAGAGAACAGCTGACATGCAAATGAGCATCAACAGCATTTAATGAAAGCAAGGAAGGAAGGAGGAAATCCAGAGGATGATAAGGCAAAAGAGAAAGAAAAAGCATGTTCAGAAAGACACAGGAGTATCTCCCTCTCCTAAACAAGAACAGAAGACATGAGGATGAAGCACTGCATAGAAATGTGAGGGACGGTGTTTGGCAGCATTTTGGCCACAATCAGACATTGGCCATATCTGTGCTGCAAGCTGGAATGTTCTGCACAGTGTGGAGCCCAAGATACAAGATGAGCTCTGGTAACATTATAGCTCTGTCAGCACTGAGCTCAGAGGAGGTTTTACAAGCCACACCAAACTGTAGCTTCTCCAGCTCCATTACTGTTTGATCCCGATATGGCTTTCACCGATCCTCTGCTCATGTGCACATAAGCTACGAAGTGTTCCCTTGGCAAGCGTCCAGATACCCTTGGACAAGTAAAAAAGGAAGAGGAAGACAAAGAGCGAAGTTAAGGATACGAATTAAGGACCTATTTCGGGGCCCTATAACTGTCAGAACACGGATCAGTGAACTAACAAAGCATGAACAGAACGCTCTGAGGGAGAGGAGCACCAGCCATAGCCTTAAACGTGGAAAGCTGTTCTGCAAAGTACAGTTATAGGTGCTGAACTTAGACAATACACTAGTGCCTCTCCTTTAGCACTGGGATGACATCAACAAAATGTACCTATTACACACGAGCAAGGCTATATGATCACAGAACACTAAAGGCTGCATTCTTTCAGGTTTGTTTTACTCCAGCAGAATGTTTTAATACAAAAGTATATTATTTTTTTTTAATAAGAAAAAAATACTGGCGAACGTTAGAAGAAAAACGTCATTTTGATAACCATTTTTCTGGAACACCCAACTATTCGCTGCGCTGAGGCGGCATTCAAAGCATTCGGAAACAGAGGAACAGAGGGGGCGTAGGTGCTTCCTTCCCTTTACGGGGGTCGGCACGGCGGGCCAGCCCACAGTGTCCGAGGGAATTGGGGAGCTCGCGGCCCCGGCGCTTCGGCCCCCGCGTGTCCCCGGGCGGGGGCAGCCACCGGCACCGGCGCCTGTCCCGCTGCCGAACGCCCCCACAGCAGCGACCCTGGCAGTGACCCCGCAGCGGGGAACAGCCCGAGGGCCCCGGGCCGGGCGGGGAGCGGTACTGGCAGCCGGGAGCCGGGGCGGGACGGGCGAGGAGGGGGCCGGGGCTGAGCGGATACGGGGACGCGAGGGATACACGGGCTGAAGGGGCTCCGGCTGCGAGCGCGGCCAAGGGCCGGCTGCGGCCCCGCTGGCAGGCCGAGCCCTCCGAGCGGAACTGGGGCCGCTGCCACCAGGCCCCGGCGGTCCGTACTCACCCGGTGCGGCGAGAGGAAGTCGGGGAGCGCTGCCAGCCCGGAGCGCGTCAGGCACCGCGGCACCGCGCCGCGCTCCGCGGGTCAGCCGCCAAACGCAGCCTCCGTCCCCATCGGGCTTCCGTAAGGGCCGCGCGTCATGTGACTGGAGGCGGGCGGAAGCGGCTCTCACCGGTGCCTGAAGTATGGAGGAGCCGGGGGCAGCCATCTTTACTGAGGGCAGCCAGGCGCCGCGCAGCCGCGTTGGGGTGCCCGGCAAGGTGACCCGGGGCGCGGCCCCAGCGGGCGCTGCAGAGCAGGATGGGCCAGCCCTGCCCGGCCCGGCGCCGCGCTCTGTGCCGCCACACGGAGTGGTGGCGTGTGCCCGGTGCGTGTCCGGGTGCGTGCTGGGCTCTGGCACGGGCAGGAGCCGGGGCACTGCAGGGCGCGTCTGGCGGCCGCAGCCCGCTGTGTCCTGAGGCGCTGCTCCCGGGCAGTCTCGCCGGGACAGCCCCGCCACTCGCTCAGACCCCGAGGCCCTGCCTGGCCCACACCCATCGCCGCCCATCACACAACATTTGTCACCAAACGTGGGTGACAGCCGTCTCTTTTCTGCCGCTGACACCCAGCGCAGACGCCAGCTCTGCCCAGCTCCCGATGGAGCTAAAACGCTTCCAAGGGCAGCATCAGCTGGCCTTTCCTGAGACTGACTCTCAGAGAACCGAGGAGCAGCTGCTGCTTCACGGCGTAACTCGATTTTCCAACTCCATACAGGAAAATACAATGAAAGTTGCTATTATATATATGTATATATAAGGGATTTGTTTTAAAGAGAAGAAAGCAGGCTCAGAGCTTTCCCTATCTTTTGGATTTATGGTTACAATGTTTTGGAGGTCAGAAAGTGTAGGAGTTCCACCACAGAAGCATGTATTGATCAAGGGCTTGCAACTTGCTGATTCAGCTCTTCACAAATACCAACAGCACTGTTTTACAGAGGCAAGTGGTCAGAAAGATGATCTCCTACTAAATAAAAGTTGTCTAACATTGAGAATGATACAGGACTTGCCTTAAGATCTTACATTTGATTTTATATCGGGCCGCCTTGAAACATGAGCTGTGGCCCAAGCAATCTTACCAGGCAATCCTCATAATTCTTTATGTGGAATCATCAATTTTACCTCTTCTTTAACATTTTATGAACTATCAAAAGGATTTCGTGTTTAAAATAAAAACAAACAAGAAAACCCCAAAGCAATTATGGTCTAAAAACTGGTTCTTCATGCACACTAGAAATATGGTTCCTCTACTGATTCCCCATTTATAATTTTGAGATCAGTTTTGTGACTGCTTTTGTTCCATTGAATAT